AATTTCGTGTTTCTGGTTCCAATAACACGACAAAGTCACTGTTACTATTTATATAAAATCATCTACCAATTCAGAACAATGTGTTTGTGTTTTAGAGTTCGAAGATCAATATATTATGTATGTACCCCTGGGAGAGTGTTTGTGTAGCCAAAAGAGTGTTTAACATCAAGGTGAATGTGGTGGTAAAATACCTTGTGTACAGCCATTGTGCTGGTTATGGTGCTGGTTATGGTAAACATTATGATATTGAAGGTAACTTTATTATATACACATTTCTACACATCATTATAGACATTTCATCCATTTCAGTAAATAACCAATGATTTACCACTTTCTGGTCATCTGGTCCTCTTTGTAGGTAAATCTTCCATGTTATTCATCTTTTAATGCACCACATCAGCAGGTCATCAATCCCTTGTTATCTATCAACAATTGATCATCAACCCCTTGTTATCTACCACTGCAGTTGATCATCAACCCCTTGTTATCTACCAACAATTGATCATCAACCCCTTGTTATCTATCAACAATTGATCATCAACCCCTTGTTATCTACCACTGCAGTTGATCATCAACCCCTTGTTATCTACCACTGCAGTTGATCATCAACCCCTTGTTATCTACCACTGCAGTTGATCATCAACCCCTTGTTATCTACCACTGCAGTTGATCATCAACCCCTTGTTATCTACCACTGCAGTTGATCATCAACCCCTTGTTATCTACCACTGCAGTTGATCATCAACCCCTTGTTATCTACCACTGCAGTTGATCATCAACCCCTTGTTATCTACCAACAATTGATCAACAACCCCTTGTTATCTACCACTGCAGTTGATCATCAACTTGTTATCTACCACTGCAGTTGATCATCAACCCCTTGTTATCTACCACTGCAGTTGATCATCAACCCCTTGTTATCTACCACTGCAGTTGATCATCAACCCCTTGTTATCTACCACTGCAGTTGATCATCAACCCCTTGTTATCTACCAACAATTGATCATCAACCCCTTGTTATCTACCACTGCAGTTGATCATCAACCCCTTGTTATCTACCACTGCAGTTGATCATCAACCCCTTGTTATCTACCACTGCAGTTGATCATCAACCCCTTGTTATCTACCACTGCAGTTGATCATCAACCCCTTGTTATCTACCACTGCAGTTGATCATCAACCCCTTGTTATCTACCACTGCAGTTGATCATCAACCCCTTGTTATCTACCACTGCAGTTGATCATCAACCCCTTGTTATCTACCACTGCAGTTGATCATCAACCCCTTGTTATCTACCACTGCAGTTGATCATCAACCCCTTGTTATCTACCACTGCAGTTGATCATCAACCCCTTGTTATCTACCACTGCAGTTGATCATCAACCCCTTGTTATCTACCACTGCAGTTGATCATCAACCCCTTGTTATCTACCACTGCAGTTGATCATCAACCCCTTGTTATCTACCACTGCAGTTGATCATCAACCCCTTGTTATCTACCACTGCAGTTGATCATCAACCCCTTGTTATCTACCACTGCAGTTGATCATCAACCCCTTGTTATCTACCACTGCAGTTGATCATCAACCCCTTGTTATCTACCACTGCAGTTGATCATCAACCCCTTGTTATCTACCACTGCAGTTGATCATCAACCCCTTGTTATCTACCACTGCAGTTGATCATCAACCCCTTGTTATCTACCACTGCAGTTGATCATCAACCCCTTGTTATCTACCACTGCAGTTGATCATCAACCCCTTGTTATCTACCACTGCAGTTGATCATCAACCCCTTGTTATCTACCACTGCAGTTGATCATCAACCCCTTGTTATCTACCACTGCAGTTGATCATCAACCCCTTGTTATCTACCACTGCAGTTGATCATCAACCCCTTGTTATCTACCACTGCAGTTGATCATCAACCCCTTGTTATCTACCACTGCAGTTGATCATCAACCCCTTGTTATCTACCACTGCAGTTGATCATCAACCCCTTGTACCACTATTGATACCACCACTGCAGTTGATCATCAACCCCTTGTTATCTACCACTGCAGTTGATCATCAACCCCTTGTTATCTACCACTGCAGTTGATCATCAACCCCTTGTTATCTACCACTGCAGTTGATCATCAACCCCTTGTTATCTACCAACAATTGATCGTCAACCTCTTGTTATCTACCACTGCAGTTGATCATCAACCCCTTGTTATCTACCACTGCAGTTGATCATCAACCCCTTGTTATCTACCACTGCAGTTGATCATCAACCCCTTGTTATCTACCACTGCAGTTGATCATCAACCCCTTGTTATCTACCAACAATTGATCATCAACCCCTTGTTATCTACCAACAATTGATCATCAACCCCTTGTTATCTACCACTGCAATTGATCATCAACCCCTTGTTATCTACCAACAATTGATCATCAACCCCTTGTTATCTACCAACAATTGATCATCAACCCCTTGTTATCTACCAACAATTGATCATCAACCCCTTGTTATCTACCACTGCAATTGATCGTCAACTCCTTGTTATCTACCACTGCAGTTGATCATCAACCCCTTGTTATCTACCAACAATTGATCATCAACCCCTTGTTATCTACCAACAATTGATCATCAACCCCTTGTTATCTACCACTGCAGCTGATCATCAACCCCTTGTTATCTACCAACAATTGATCATCAACCCCTTGTTATCTACCACTGCAGTTGATCATCAACCCCTTGTTATCTACCACTGCAGTTGATCATCAACCCCTTGTTATCTACCACTGCAGTTGATCATCAACCCCTTGTTATCTACCACTGCAGTTGATCATCAACCCCTTGTTATCTACCACTGCAGTTGATCATCAACCCCTTGTTATCTACCACTGCAGTTGATCATCAACCCCTTGTTATCTACCAACAATTGATCATCAACCCCTTGTTATCTACCAACAATTGATCATCAACCCCTTGTTATCTACCACTGCAGTTGATCATCAACCCCTTGTTATCTACCACTGCAGTTGATCATCAACCCCTTGTTATCTACCACTGCAGTTGATCATCAACCCCTTGTTATCTACCACTGCAGTTGATCATCAACCCCTTGTTATCTACCAACAGTTGATCATCAACCCCTTGTTATCTACCACTGCAGTTGATCATCAACCCCTTGTTATCTACCACTGCAATTTGATCATCAACACCTTGTTATCTACCACTGCAGTTGATCATCAACCCCTTGTTATCTACCACTACAGCTGGTCATCAACCCCTTGTGAGGTATCACTACAGTTATCACCACCCCTTGTGACATTGATCATCAACCCCTACAGCTGGTCATCAACCCCTTGTAAGATATCACTACAGCTGGTTGTCAACCCCTTGTGAGATATCACTACAGCTTGTCATCAACCTCTTGTTAGGTATTACTACAGCTGGTCATCAACCCCTTGTGATATATCACTACAACTGGTCATCAACCCCTTGTGAGGTATCACTACAGCTGGTTACCAACCCCTTGTGAGGTATCACTACAGCTGGTCATCAACCCCTTGTGAGGTATCACTACAGCTGGTCACCAACCCCTTGTGAGGTATCACTACAGCTGGTCATCAACCCCTTGTGAGGTATCACTACAGCTGGTCACCAACCCCTTGTGAGGTATCACTACAGCTGGTCACCAACCTCTTGTGAGATATCACTACAGCTGGTCATCAACCCCTTGTAAGATATCACTACAGCTGGTTATCAACCTCTTGTGAGGTATCACTACAGCTGGTCATCAACCCCTTGTGAGGTATCACTACAGCTGGTCGTAAACCTCTTGTTAGGTATCACTACAGCTTGTCATCAACCTCTTGTTAGGTATCACTACAGCTGGTCATCAACCCCTTGTGAGGTATCACTACAGCTGGTCACCAACCCCTTGTGAGGTATCACTACAGCTGGTCACCAACCTCTTGTGAGGTATCACTACAGCTGGTCACCAACCCCTTGTGAGGTATCACTACAGCTGGTCACCAACCCCTTGTGAGGTATCACTACAGCTGTTCAACAATACGTTGAGGTATCACTACAGCTGGTCATCAACCTCTTATTAGGTATCACTACTGCTGGTCACCAACCCGTTGTGAGGTATCACTACAGCTGGTCATCAACCCCTTGTGAGGTATCACTACAGCTGGTTATCAACCTCTTGTGAGGTATCACTATAGCTGGTCATCAACCCCTTGTGAGGTATCACTACAGCTGGTTGTAAACCTCTTGTTAGGTATCACTACAGCTTGTCATCAACCTCTTGTGAGGTATCACTACAGCTGGTCATCAACCCCTTGTGAGGTATCACTACAGCTGGTTATCAACCTCTTGTTAGGTATCACTACAGCTGGTCGTAAACCTCTTGTTAGGTATCACTACAGCTTGTCATCAACCTCTTGTGAGGTATCACTACAGCTGGTCACCAACCCCTTGTGAGATATCACTACAACTGGTCACCAATCCCTTGTGAGGTATCACTACAGCTGTTCAACAATACGTTGAGGTATCACTACAGCTGGTCATCAACCTCTTATTAGGTATCACTACTGCTGGTCACCAACCCGTTGTGAGGTATCACTACAGCTGGTCATCAACCCCTTGTGAGGTATCACTACAGCTGGTTATCAACCTCTTGTGAGGTATCACTATAGCTGGTCATCAACCCCTTGTGAGGTATCACTACAGCTGGTTGTAAACCTCTTGTTAGGTATCACTACAGCTTGTCATCAACCTCTTGTGAGGTATCACTACAGCTGGTCATCAACCCCTTGTGAGGTATCACTACAGCTGGTTATCAACCTCTTGTTAGGTATCACTACAGCTGGTCATCAACCCCTTGTGAGGTATCACTACAGCTGGTTATCAACCTCTTGTTAGGTATCACTACAGCTTGTCATCAATATTTTGTAAGATTACATAACTTGTGTATGTGCCAACACCAGCAATAATTTGTAAATAAGTATAATCAGTTTTATTAATGACATCCACAAATGTTGATATATAGATTTGTAAATTCTAACTTTCAGTGTCTATTCCAGTTTCCAAGATTACAGGAACATGTTGTTTAAAATATGTGTAAGGTTCATGTCCAGAGCATTAATCTTTGATTTTGAGAATACTTCGCTTTTCCAAGTCTTCTATTTCTTTCAGAACAAAAGCTACATTGTATCGCAGTTCATGAAATTTGGCAACAGGAACCTATTAAAAGAAGAAAAAAGAAAGGATGACTGTACAGTTGTCAAGTAAAATACAAACAAGAATACTATGGGCATTATACACCCAATCAACCTTACAGGGCAATACATTTTATTACATAACTGACCTGTGTCTTATACAGTCATATCACAAATATTGTTAGACTCTGCATACTAACACTATTGTAAAGTCATTAAGAAGTTGTGTCTTGATGACCACACATTATTGTCCTGGCAGTGAAAAACATACGGAGTTGAAATATATGAATTATATGGTAAATAGAATCCTATACTTGTCAATGGAACTATGGAATAAATTCAATAATTTGATAAATGTCATGAGCCTTTAGCCGAGTGGCTTATCAAATTATTTAACAATCATATTACATGGACATTCATTTAAGTATAGACATGCAAATGAAACTATAATTTCTCATCAAAATGTCAGAGAAAGCACAACCATATGGAGTAGCAAAGTATACGGATTTTGGAAGAAATTGGTTGAAAACTGATGGGGAGGATCTAGACAACATGAGTATCAGTGAAACTGATAAATGCTCCCTGAAAATGACCTTACAGGACACTATATTTTTCAAAGAGCAATAATTCTATAATTAATGTTGCAGGCCTGAATTCGGTATTCTACGGACATGAAATTTTAACAAAGGACAGTAACTCTGTTATTGGTGGGTTGATACAACAAGTTTTACGATCCTTGCTAAACTGTGGACAAAGTTATGCTCCAGACATGAATGGATGGAGAGACAAGGCGGTGATTATATGCTCCGCCGAAAAGTTTTAGGGAGCATAAAAAGAACACAAGACAATTATTCCAAAACTCATTAAGTCAATGCACCAATAGAAAAATTAGTGCTATAAGATACGTCTAAATCTGATAGAAGAAATTGCCACAGAAAATTATTAAAATGATCTTGGCACCGACCATTGTTGGACAATAATTTGTTCTTTAAAAGCTTGATGTTTACCCTTCTTTCCTCATCTTTCTTCATCTTTCCTCTGAACTTTCCAAATTTCTCTTAAAAAATACTGATAACCAACTTTAACTGTCAAATCCAAGATGGCACAACAACAAGGGAATAAAATGAAATATCAGAAATATACATGGAGTACTTTTCAAGAAATAGTGCCAACAAACTTTCAAGGTCGAAATCCAAAATGGTCACCTGTCAGCCATTTTCACTTTCGATCAGACAAAAAATTCAAGAGACCAAGATGACCATACATATGGAATTTGAGTAAGATCCAAGATTAATGCCTCAAAAAAACAAACTTAGAAACCAAGGGAAAAGATCCCCAATGAAGACCAAACTTCTAAAAAAGTTGTTAGCAGTCGTTTATAGGTTATAACAAATTTAATCACTTTCAATGTTATTTTCAAAGGCCATGATACATCACTTTTAAGATCCCAATATATCTAACTTTAAAGCCCAAACATATTTGAAACTTTAACAGCCTCATTATGCATAACTTTTAATGTGCTGTTTATGCTAACATTGAAGCAATAATTTGGGTTAATTTTACAGCCCTAATATATTGTTATTTTTAACTCCCAACATGGCCTTTTCAATTTTAAAGCACCAATATATTTGAAACCTTTAAAGCTACAATGTACATAACTTTTAATGTTCCATTTACCCTACCCTGAAAGCCCCAATTTGTGCCCCAATATATACATCTTTTAAACCCCCAATGTACATAATGGTAAAGCACAATATACATAACCCATAAGGCTCTAATATAGTACTTGTAAGACCCCAATACACTTTACTTTTAAAGCCAAAAAATATGTAATTTTAAAGGCCCGATACTTGTTACTTTTACCTTTATTTTACTTTAGCTTTGGCTAATTCACTTTTCATATCATGTAACTTTCTCAGAAAAAGTTCCATATTAAATTGATACCAAAACAATGGCTAATCTTTATTTATCTCAGGACATTCAATGAACAAAAACAATTAAAATGGTCCTCACTTCAGATGCAGAGATATGTCAACATCAAAACGCATGCGTGCCAAAATTATAACAAGCCTAAAAGCACACCAGGGCTAACTTCTGTAGTTCACAGACAACATATTAATTCCAAGGGATATCCTTTAGATATGAGTATACTTGAACTTGTTTTCAGCTAATTTATAGTTTATGTGTGTACAAAATTTTAGTTTTTAGCCCAAGTTATTTACTAACAACACATGAAAATACCTTTGTTTGTGAAAGTCATATACATTGTACATTGTAAAAATAACACAGGCATGCTAAATATTAAAAAATATGGAATTACCTCAAAAGTATGTATTTTGCCATCACTAAGGGTCATTTCCATAAGAATACTTGGTTCCAAAACTCTGTTTAAAACACTGAAAAAATAAACAGAAGATATAAATTGGTCAGAAGTCAAGCAGCAGATATAACAGTAACTTTGGTAGATATAACAGTCACACAGTAGATATAACAGTCACACAGTAGATATAACAGTCACAAAGTAGATATAACAGTCACACAGTGGATATAACAGTCACAAAGTAGATATAACAGTCACACAGTGGATATAACAGTCACAAAGTAGATATAACAGTCACACAGTAGATATAACAGTTACACAGTATATATAACAGTAACTGGTAGATATAACAGTCACACAGTAGATATAACAGTCACAAAGTAGATATAACAGTCACACAGTGGATATAACAGTCACAAAGTAGATATAACAGTCACACAGTAGATATAACAGTCACACAGTAGATATAACAGTTACACAGTATATATAACAGTAACTGGTAGATATAACAGTCACACAGTAGATATAACAGTCACAAAGTAGATATAACAGTCACACAGTAGATATAACAATCACAAAGTAGATATAACAGTCACACAGTAGATATAACAGTAACTATGGTAGATATAACAGTCACACAGCAGATATAACAGTCACACAGTAGATATAACAGTTACACAGTAGATATAACAGTAACTATGGTAGATATGACAGTCACACAGTAGATATAACAGTAACTATGGTAGATATAACAGTCACACAGTAGATATAACAGTAACTATGGTAGATATATAAGTCACACATCAGATATAACAGTCACACAGTAGATATAACAGTTACACAGTAGATATAACAGTAGCTATGGTAGATATAACAGTTACACAGTAGATATAACAGTCACACAGTAGATAAAATGAAAATTGAGAAAGATCTATAGAGTAGTCCTCAAGAAATAGTGATAACAATCTTTCGAAGTCAAAATCTAAGATGGCCACCTTTCTGCCAACTTGTGTTTCTGATCAGACTAAAAATCTAACCAGCACAACTAGTAACTAAAGGGAATCTAAATAAGAAATTTAAGAAAGATCCATCTAGTACTTCTCGAGAAATAGCAATAACAATCTTGCAAAGTCAAAATCCAAGAAGGCTGCCTGTTAGCCATTTTATTTTCCTTATCATTATTTCTCAAGAAGTAGTGATAACAAAAATTGTTAGATCAGATGGTAGGCTAAAAAGGAGAGGTAACTCACCTGTAATATGATGTATATGCAATAGCCTGGTCAGAGTATTTGCCCTGTAATATTGGTGTATGTGTGGGAGCCTTGTCTGGGTAATTGCCCTGTAATATTGGTGTATGTGTGGGAGCCTTGTTAGAGAAATGGCCCGGTAATATTGGTGTTTATGTGGGAGCCTTGTCGAAGTAATTGCCCCATAATCTTGGTGTATGTGTGGGAGCCTTGTCAAAGAAATTGCACTGTAATATTGGTGTATGTCCTGCTATATTGCCTTGTGTGTGTTGGAGCCTTGTCAGATGTTCTGCACTGTGATGTATTAACCTACCTTGTAGATATCGCTACATCAACTCTCCATTTCAGACAGCATAACTTAGGCAGTCGAGGTCTCTTCTCCAGACAATGTGCATTAATCTGTGGACCCCTTCAAAAAAATACTTCAAGTCAATGTGAGGTAGCATTCAAAGCAAACATTACAGAACCTGCTTGAATTGATCCACATTCTAGCAAAATGTCAGACAATCGAAATATGATTTAAGGATGGTACCATTCAGAAAACATATATCATACTGATGCAGTTGTTTACATTAATTTACTACCTTTCATTATACATATGACACACTTAGTAATATACAAATAGTGACTTACCTTGAACCAAATATCACACTTGCGAGATCGCTGTGAAACGCTTCAGGTATACTGAAAGGAATTGAACACAACCAATTAAGCATCACTTAATGGGTCAAGAATAAACATAGTGATAAAAGCAAGATGTGATTTGATTACTCGGTTGTTCTGCAGCTCACACAGAGTTGACATGATATAAAGAAGCCATTTTGTTAATTTCTATGATCATAATAAACATTGTATCATTTCTTCACAAAATGAATATTGCATGTGATGAAAATAATATAACCTTTCATCCAAAGTCAATTGGCTATGGAGACGTTGTTTGAACATTTCAACACATCTAACACACACCTTTAATTAATTTGCACAAATTTGGAACATTCAATTCAGAATGCTATAGGCCTAATATCAGTACATTGTACATTGAGCCTCCTGGTTATTACAGAGAGCAGCTGTTTAAAATTGAAGACATCTGACCACTGTTCCCTTGAAAGTTGGTCAAGGTCATTTATTTAAACAAACTAAAAAGCCCTTCAACCAAGCATACTACTTGTTAAATTGAGAAGCATTTTTTTCAAAGACTTTTAACACTTTTGACCCCTGTAACCTTGAAAGTGGGTCAAAGTAATTAATTTCCATGAATATGGTAGCCTGTCCTCCTAGCATACAACTGGCCCAAAATCATGATAAATGGCCTCTTGGTTACTGAGAAGTTATCTAAATAGCTGATCATATTTGATTCTGTGACCTTAAAGATGGGTCAAGATCATTCACTGAACAAATTTGGTGACTTTTGTTCTCTACATGCTACAGCCCAAAAATCATGTCCTGGCATCTTCTGGTTTTCCTAGAAAGTATCTCAAGTTTAAAGCTGACACCTTCCTGGTTGGTGAGCTAACAAATCACTTTACATGAACAAACAGACAGATTAGAAATACTTACTTTAATTCTTTAATGTCCTCCTTGAACATCTGTAAAATCAAAGGCATGCAAATTCTTACTCTCAAATTTCATGATTTTGTTAATTTAAAACAAGGTCAAAGTTCAAATTTCCAACCAAGGGAGATTTGTAAATCCTACATCAAGGGAGATAATGCTAATCCCCCATCTAAACTTTAAAGTGTACCCTGAGAGTAATTTTATATTTAAATATAATGTTAAGAATGCCGTAAAAATAATAATGATGAAAACCCCGTCAAAATCCGTCGCCCCAGTGTCGAGTTATTAAAGCTCAAATTTTCACCTGTCCGCCCAGACCTAATCAGCCGAATCGTCATTTCCGCGGAATCGAGGCTCTTCTACTCGTGACGTCATAAGTTCAACAGAAATGGCAGTCAACATGACTGACAGTGACAACGACACCGCAACTGAGAGCGATTTGAGCATGAGTTTTGAGGAGTCTGATTATGGTGTGAATGATATGTCTGAAGACGGAATCCAGCCCTACCGATTTGAACTGGAATTACAAGACGATGTATCAAGTGAGGAGGAAAATGACCCTTCGAAAAGTGACGATCGCTTGGGCAACATAGATTGGCACGTACTTCACTGGGTCTCACCAGTAGTCGCGATAGTAGTCGAACAGTGAATCGTCGTTTCAAAGAAACAAAATAAAATTGGGTGTGGTTTTGGACTAATTTTACTATCTTCAAGTCTCGATCAACAATTTCTGACGTCGGGAAATCGTGTTTGTGCAAGACCATGCATACATTCACGAGGTGTCGGGAATTTTCTTACCGAAGAAGTTTCGTCCGAGGGGAATTTTTCTTTCCGGGGAATTTTCGTAGCACTATGGATATATATAGATAGGGTGTCAACAACCAACTATAACACCCTCCGCTGTGTTAATAATAAAAATTTGATGTTTTAGAAGTTTAAACAATTATTTGACTGGTTTTTACCCTAGCACTGGTACGTGTCTGTTGTTAGCCGACAGGCGTGTTGCCTCACAGGTGTCACCATCGTTTTTTCCAGCCACAGAGGTGCTAATTACCTAACCTGGCACAGGTGTGATTATGAGTTATGAGCGCTAATTCACCGACCCCTTGTTCACTACCTTAGATATTGCGAAGATGTGAAGTACTTTCACGTAAATAAACAAAGAAATTACCACGGAAAATCCCAAAATAGATCACAATCACATGTAGCACAGTAAAGACAATGTGGCTGCATCAACAAAAGCGTTGAACTTATGACGTCACAGGTTTGGGTGCCCGAAAACAAGGTCAACGCCTCTCAGCCAAAGGTGTGTTTTTCAGAAAAGTCGCAATTTCTCAGTAACGGAACATTCCACGGCATTCGCGTTTTCTGCATAGTGTATTTTATGGGCAGAACTATTTTTCAAGGTCAACATAGCTGACCTCTCAGGGTACACTTTAAATCTAGTTTTAACATTAGGTGTCACACAATAAATGTAACCTCTAGTTTTATCTTAAAAGTAAATTTACCTCTGATTTTATCATAGGCATCACAATGTAAACTTTAAATCTGGTTTTAACATAGGTATTACACAATAAATGTAACCTCTGGTTTTATCATGGTTTTTACACAATAAACCTTACCTCTGGTTTTAACGTTGTGAGAGGCAGTCGAATAGCACGCCTCAGTAGTGAGTATAAACCAGTGTAAACGATACTCAACACTTCCTTGGTGAAAATGTCTTGTTCTAATTCTTTCAGCAGACTACCATCAACTTCTTTTCCTTCCATGGAGGAAACAATCACTGAAAAGAAAAGTGCACAGAGGTCAAATTAAAACAAAGTGACTAAGGGTCAAAGTTTTATAACAACACATTCCTGTTGAGTGCCCTAACAGGAATCCAACTTGGGTCTCTGGCATGATAATCCATGACAATCAACGAAGCTATCCTTGATACTCCAGCGGTTATGACCACTTTTGCTCTCTGTACTCCTGGAACATGTCCTGGCTAAATTGAAGGTCCCATGGGCAACACCTTGTGGACAAGGCTAGAAAACTAGTGTACATCAAAGGAATCTTGAAGTCACACAATGGTATATTATAATGGCTTTGAAGTTGGGCATTGCTCATTTGTTATCTTCAAAAGAAGCGCATCAGCCAGTTTTTTTCTCCTGGAACCAATCAGATTTCTTCACTTGTGCCTTCAAATTTTCCATGACATGTTACAAGGGTGAATAGAAAGGTTGTAATAGTGGACGTAAAACCTGTTAGAATAAAATAAATAAATCCAGGGGTCTAGAGAGCAAAAGTGATCATAACCCATGGAGTATCGAGGATGCAACCGAGCCAAACAAGCATGCTTTCCCACCTGAGTAACAGAAACCATAGTTAAAACTGTGTACACACTGACCTCCTCCTTTCAAAACATAAATGAAGTGAACCCTTCTTATTTTTGTGTAAACTGGAACATACATACGTATAATACATTGTATTATACGTCCCTGATACACACTACTAAACACTCCATATTGTTATACACATACCAGTCTACCCTATTTTGGCATACATGCTGTATCCTATAACACACATACCTGTTTAACTACCTTCCCTATTTTTGCAAATAGATTGATTGACATAGATCCCTATTTTTGTATACTGTAACCAGAGACGCATATAACATATACGACTTTGATTACCTGTCAACCCTCCCTATTTTGCAAGAGCCTTCCCAGTTTCATTATAAATCAATTTTCACATGTGGATTATAAATAATGCTGGAACCTTACATTTATACTGGAGTTTTATACTAAAGTAAGGGTGCACCACTTATAGGGCATGAATTATTGGTAATAAAGACATATTTCGACACACTTTCAGTTCAATTTCGGACAGTGGAGTTGCCGTACCCGTTACATGTCAACATATATTTACAGTCGTTTTAATCATTTTCATCTTACTTTGCAATAATTTTCTAAACGTTTGCTTTTCAATTTTTGCCAAAGGTTTGCTGATGGCTTTGATTTCGGGGGGCACTCGTCCACCATAAAACGGCGATCGGTCTGCAGCTACACTGCCCCCGCTTCCCTTCACTTGGATGATGGACATGGTCAGCTAATCATCAAGTTATTAGTAGAGATTTTCAAAGTTTTTTCCACATATCTCTATCCATCCACAGAATATGTTCAATTATGTGCACTCCATCCACATTATCGTCATTTCTTTTATGTGTAATAGCGAGAAACAAACACTAAAACAATAATTCGTCTGTCATGTGCCTCCCCTCATAACACGGAAGTGACAGTTCAGAGTTCATCCGGAACTAGTCCTAGTAAATATAGGATCGAGTCATGAAAAAGATGATATTTAGGCCTAATTCTTTAAAATATAAACCCCAATGTTTGAAGTCATTATTACATGAAGGAAACAGGTTGTTTTATTGACGAAAATTAAAAATAATTATTTCATCTATTTTATTTGACTAATCAACATTCGCCAATTGTTGGACTGCACTCCTACCAAACGTCAAAATGGCAGACGATCTGAGAAGCAGGTGTTGGATTTATTTGAATTATTAGGAAACACTATTTATAAGTTTATGAAGGCTACTTATTCCCCGTGTGAAACAATCAGTATAATAACAAATCTGTTACTGTTCATATTGTGCATGAAATTATTGATCGAGCAGAAATGGTTGGTTGGGTGGTTGGTTGGTTGACGGTTTTTCGTCTCCGAGATTCCTCCGGTGTGCGGGCATCGTCTCGCCGACAAACGTCAGTGTTCTGGCAACAATTATATAGCTGACATAATTTTGCTAGTCATCATATCAAACGTCGGCGAGAAGGCGAATGGATTACCAAAGATCTTAACAAGAATCTCTGACTACCTTTACCTTCCTCAATATTGTACTGAATCCATACATAAGATTTAACAGCACTTTTAATATGAAAAAGACAAAAATCTGAAAAGAGCGTAGCTTTATCAGAGACGTATATATCACGTATCTATATGTGATATATACGTCTCTGGCTTTATTTAACAGGGAAAGTCTGAAACAATACATAAATGCAGTGTTATACGTTATTTTGCCTTATGTTATCTCTGCTCACAGGACCTACTGGTCCTCTTTAGGCAGCTCAGAAATATCATTTAGCTGTAAATGGTTAGTTCTGCCTCCTGTGACTGGTTCATAATTCACAGCATAGTCTATCCTAAGTGGGTGATTTACCCACTGCTTGTCTAGCCTATTTTTGAATTGGTTTGTTGTATCTGCCTTGATCACGATTTCAAGAAGACTGTTCCATGTGTCTACTATTCTGTAGAAGTTATACTTCCTTATGTCTATGCTGCAATGTTGTTTTATCAATTTCAGTGAGTTTCCCCTGGTATTGCTGGCCATGTTCTGTTTAACCAAAGGAGATGATACTTTATGGTCATATATTCCTTTCATGATCTTGAAAGCTTCTTTCATATCCCCACACATTCTTCTGAATTTCAGTGACGGCAAATTAAGGAGCTTCAAGCATTGTTTATAATCCATGTTTCTCATCTGGGGTAGCATCCGTGTAGCTCTCCTCTGGACATTCTCAGTCATTTCAATATCCTTTTTCTAGTAAGGTGCCTGTACAGAACTCCTATATTCTAAGTAGGATCAAACTAATACTTTGAAAAGTAGGCAGAATGTTCTGTTGTCAAGGTAGATGAAAGTACTACTCGTCAATCCAACAATCTGGTTTGCCTTGCAGGGCTCTTACATCCTATTTTGGGACTGGAGCCCGAGGCCCTTAGAGTTGGGAAAAATGATGGTGTTTTCCTTGGAATTGGGAAAACTTGGGGTCTAAATTGGGAAAAACAGATATTATTTTGCATTGGGAATGGGGCCGAATATCAGCCCCAAATCTGGCAGATCGAGAGCCCTGCCTTGTTTACTTGAGTATGTATATATTATGTATATACAAGTAAAAAGTAGGAGTAATGCAGCATTGATAAAAATCTAAAGTTGATTTAAGAACTTGCTGATTTTTATGCTGTTGTATAGACTGCATTAATGTGTTATCATGTCCATGTAGTTCTGTTAATATGAATAGTGGCAAAGCCATTTGGAGTGAGTGTAGTATTTTAGCTTATGTATTTCATGGCGGGTCAAAAATCAAACATGGCAAATTGATATTTGGCAACAATAATCATATAATTTAAACTTTTCTTCCTTGAATATTGTATTTATTGTGTTACAAACTAGTTCACATACCTGCTAACTTTTTGAAATTTTCATGGGGAAGAAAAGTATGTAAACAACATTATTGACTCGCCTTGATACAAGTTGCATGTCACAACATTTGTAAGAACGTGCGCAGGACAGAACAACATGTAGGGTTTTCCATAAAAGCCGGTCGCCGGCCAATTTGACCGGCTACTTTGATCATTTAGCCGCCTACACCAATCCAGTTCCGTAATAATTTTCCGTACACGACTACACATACACAGCAGGCCAGCCTCCTACTTTCACTACACAGCCTACTACTAACAAAATTATGGAAAACCCTGACATGAGTACAAATTATTTGATTGAAGTTGTTAATTATATGTTTTATTGTTTGGATGAATAAACAATAAAAGGAGAAAGTAGAAATAGATTTATTTGTTGCCATTATAGGAAACTGATATCAGCCTTATTTATACACTTTTTTGAGTCGAAATTCGAATAAGTCAAAATATTTTCCATGGTCCCTTGAATTTCGAGATAAGTAATTTTGACTGTATCTTTTATCAGTGAATGAAATTGTATCTTGTGGTATGTTCAATTAAGAGACCCAAGCACACTCAAATCTTGGCCACAAAGATGTTCGATTTCTTACCATTTCTCCACTGGAGTTATGTTTCTGGTTTAAAGATCACACAATGGTCATTGATAACACACATATGGGAAGGGAGGCAACACTATTTAATGTACCATTTGCAGGTTTTTGCTGCACTCCTAACAATTAATGTAAATCAATACATCTTATAGTCCTAAATGGCTAGCTCTTGATGTTGGACTGATGAAACACTATAAGATATTCCATCAGTTAATTGCCGTCTGGTGTTTAGATGAGGTACGTTTTATAATTAGGCATTAAATGTTTATGATTATGGGAGTCAGAATACAATTACCTTGCAAATTTGTATATTGTGACTTCCCAATCATAATCAATTTTTAACTGATGATCATAACTCACCTAAACAAGCCCCTATGCTCTGTCAGTGCAAATATGCTTCCATAAATTGGTCTTTGACTGATGAAAATGACAGTATACTCATTCAGTCATCAGAATGTTCCAGATAAATTCTAACGGACTATGATTTAAGAATATTGATTGAAGAAAGGGAGATGTTGAAATTGCTCATTGTTCATGCAAAGTGGAGATTTCAGTTTAGTGTAGTAGTTGCTATAGAATTGATTGGATTCCTTGACTACTGGGAAGTGCAGTTGAACAATTATACAACAATATGAACAACAGATTACCCTAAACGAAAAATAACCCACAGAGCAACATCAAATTAAATACTTATATTGCCACAAATGTTTTTCCCAATCATTTGTCATTATCTGGGCTACTGATACATATTCATGAAAGGATCCATTAGAACAAAGGTTATAAGGAATCGTAAGAATGACTACAAATTACAAGTTAACCATACAGATACCTTGATCAGACTGTATGCTGAATGCGGAGACCAAAAGTAATGTTTGAGTGTTGGTTTGCATCAAGGCTAGTTCTCCGCTTCCAAAGTAATGTACTGTATTATGATGTTAATCTGAACTAAAGTTATCATTGGTAATGTTCTGTATTTTTGTTATTTTCTAGAATGATGGGTCAAACAGAAGAACAGAATCAGAGTGTGATGAAGACAATGATTTTATTTAGCATGGCAATGCTGTTCCTCCCAGTATTCTCTTACTTCTTCACTAAAAGTTTTTTCTTTGAAGGTAAGAATCAGTCTTCCACTGGTCGAGTCCACACATTTCAGCATCTTCAGTTCACCTTCATCAGATGGTGGGCTGGTTTGTCTCCCATCCATTCCTACATCACTCTGTAAAACATACTGAGGATGTGCTCATATAAACTAAGACTTTAACAAATAAAGGACAAAGCAACAAAACAACAGAGGGAAAACAGGAAGTTTTACCATGACAAATCATTCTGCAAACTCATGATTTTACCTTGTTGGGTTGTTGCAATAATGCAATGAAGCAATATTTTAGATATTTGGCTAAATCTCAAAACTGTGACAAGCTACAACACCAGATCAGCCACACAATAATGCACTATATAAGTTATATTATATGATCCACCAACTCCTGAATTCTTGACTTGTTAATTGTATACTAATTATTCAGTATGATTTAAAGTGCACCCTAATTTTTGATAGATCTAGCTTCTTCATATTACACAATAAAAGGTCAAGAAAGTGTGGACATTGTAGTTAGCTCCATTTTTCAGATTTTGTAATTTATCTGAAAACATACCATTAACTGAGTGACAATCACCTCAAAATTGGTTGCCAACATTTGTGACATCACAATTTGAACACTGTTAAATCAGCACTATAGACAGATACCCCTATACTTTTATTGTATGTTCAATATGTGAGCTACTTATGTGATATATTGTGTTAACACTTACCCGTGAAGGTTATTTTGATAGACATAATACTGTGTAACTATACTCTTCTTACTTGGCCATGTGTGGTGAGAGTGTGGTGAAATAGTAATCATAATTTGTACAGACATAAACTTCACTGGTTAATGTACTTCAGAACTGTTAGGGATTGATAGGGAATAGTTTATATATTTATCAGAATATATTTATCAATTGGTGATGATGTAACAATCATCCATGAATGTGATTCATCATAAAAGTGTTTGAACTGGAGATATAACAAACACATGTTGACTCAAAAAAATGTTATTTTAGTATCCCAAATGTTAGTCATATGACAAATGGAATACAAGATTTGATTCTTTGAACTACATATGACAGTGGTGCATGAGAGAGAATACCATTAGAATGGATATGTTGATGTAAATCGTTCTATCCTTGGGTGCCATCTTTGTTGATGAAGAATGTTGCAAGGGGCATAACATAATTAATGGTAACATAAGGGGTATGATGTAATTAATGGTAACATCAGGGGTATGACATAATTAATGGTAACATAAGGGGTTTGACATAATTAATGGTGACATTAGGGTATGATGTAATTAATGGTAACATTAGGGGTATGACATAGTTAATGGTAACATTAGGGTATGATGTAATTAATGGTAACATCAGGGGTATGACATAGTTAATGGTAACATTAGGGTATGATGTAATTAATGGTAACATCAGGGGTATGACATAGTTAATGGTAACATTAGGGTATGATGTAATTAATGGTAACATTAGGGGTATGACATAGTTAATGGTAACATTAGGGTATGATGTAATTAATGGTAACATCAAGGGTATGATGTAATTAATGGTAACATAAGGGGTATGACATAGTTAATGGTAACATTAGGGTATGATGTAATTAATGGTTACATTAGGGGTATGATGTAATTAATGGTAACATCAGGGGTATGATGTAATTAATGGTAACATCAGGGGTATGATGTAATTAATGGTAACATTAGGGGTATGACATAGTTAATGGTAACATTAGGGTATGATGTAATTAATGGTAACATCAGGGGTATGATGTAATTAATGGTAACATAAGGGGTATGACATAATGTTAACATTAGGGTATGATGTAGTGGTAACATAAGGGGTATGATGTAATTAATGGTAACATCAGGGGTATGACATAATGGTAACATTAGGGTATGATGTAGTGGTAACATTAGGGGTATGATGTAATTAATGGTAACATTAGGGGTATGATGTAACTAATGTCAACATTAGGAGTATGATGTTTTGATGGTAACATTACGGGTATGATGTAATTGATAGTAACATAAGGGGTATGACATAGTTAATGGTAACATTAGGGGTATGATGTAATTGATAGTAACATAAGGGGTATGACATAATGGTAACATTAGGGTATGATGTAGTGGTAACATTAGGGGTATGATGTAATTAATGGTAACATTAGGGGTATGATGTAACTAATGTCAACATTAGGAGTATGATGTTTTGATGGTAACATTACGGGTATGATGTAATTGATAGTAACATAAGGGGTATGACATAGTTAATGGTAACATTAGGGGTATGATGTAATTGATAGTAACATAAGGGGTATGACATAGTTAATGGTAACATTACGGGTATGATGTAATTGATAGTAACATAAGGGGTATGACATAGTTAATGGTAACATTACGGGTATGATGTAATTGATAGTAACATTAGGGGTATGATGTAATTAATGGTAACAGTAGGGGTATGATGTAATTAATGGTAACATTAGGGGTATGATGTAATTGATGGTAACATAAGGGGTATGACATAATGAAGTAAATACATTGTGCATCGGTTAGATTATTAAAAAGAAAAATATCAACATAATAGTTTGCTAATGTTTTCAGGTGAAGTGGCCATCTTCAGGCAATTGTTAAATGAATGTTACTACCTATAAGGCATCATGTCACTAAATAATACAATGGCATGAAGATTGCCACTAGGCCTGAAAATATTAGCTAACTTCCTTGTTGTTTTTATCTTTTTTATCTGAACTTGCACCCAAAATATTTTTGAGGAGCTTATATTCGCTGCCTTGTCTGTCCATCCATCTTTACGTCCGTCCATCCTTTCATGTCTGCAACATATCTTTAGCAAGGATAATGAAATTTAGTATATAAATTTGTGACACTTGAAAGCTTCTTACCCTGTAACCTTTATATCAAATATTGCCTATCTCAGGTGACCGTCAAGGCTGCTAGGCCTCTTGTAATAAAAATAAAAATTATTACATGAGTATTGTTATATTAAGAGTATTGTTATTATGATAAGAGTTGCAACACACATTATGCACTAGATGTTTTTGCAATAATAATAACTTTTTTTTTATAGGATATTTTGGGATGACGAGTCAGAACAGTTACTTCTATGCAGCTTTTGTCGCTATAACAGTAGTACACATAATATTGGGACTTTTTGTGTATAAGGCATTTACAGAAGGAACTCCGACATCAACTTACAAAACAGACTAGAAAACAGAGTTCCAGCCATCCCAAGGTCGACTTTAAAAAGAGGCTAGAAAACCAAGTTCTGGCCCCAACAAAATCAACTTTTGAAACAGATCAAGGACCTCTGGTTTCAACTATGTCAAATTTCAAAACAGACAAGAAAACTGAATTCCAGTCATGTGTGATTCAGAGTAAAACAGTTGGAGATGAATGATATCAATGATTAAGAAAATTTGCCATTAATTAATGATAGCAATGATAGGGTGCTCTTTGGTTGTCTGCGAGGGAATGTGTGTGGGTGCATGTATGCTTGTATACGGGCTATTATACCAGTATGTGTTATGTACAGGGTACAAAATGAACAAGCATTTGGAAAGTGTTTAGGAAGAAAACCACTTTTGTATTGTATACAGGCCTTAAGTACTTTTTTTCTGTTAATTTAAACCAATAAGGAATTTACATAATTTCAGATATTTCTTAATATTGATAGAACAATGATTAGAAATTACCACTTGTTTAAATGTGAAAATTTCATCTGATGTGGTATTTGATCTTGACCTTTAAGTCATGGTGGTCTATTGTGATCAGCTTTGTCTGGCATCATGCATATGTGAACGTCCAACATTTTTGTTTTCTTCTCAAAAACCCTTGACCAATTTCAATGAAATTTTGCAGAAAGCTTTCCTGGCCCAAGATGAACAAAACAAATGAATAATATTGTCCCCATTCCACAGGGGACTGAGGGTTGGGCCAAAAGGGTCAAAATAACCTAAATTTTAAAAATCTTCTCCTCAACACCCAGGTATGGTAGAATCAAATGCTCTTCATGGATGGAAGCGTCTGAAGATGCTTTACCAAAACGGGTCTCCCATTTCTTCCTGGGAAGGAGGTTAACTTTACTGTAATTTTCATAGCAAAATAGTATTTTTGAGCAGAATGTTGTTTATTCCCCATTAGAAATATCTTTGTAAGAATTATTAGTATAGAATGAAGTTTAATTTAACTATAATTTGCATAGAAAAATTGCATTTTTAAGTATGTTCAGAACCATTGGAAATAACTTTGGAAGAATTATAAGTGTAGGACAGCAGCTTTGATGGTGTGCACCGGCTCACTATCGTCAATATCTTAATTTCTTTTTCATGACATTCGAAAGCTCCTTATCTTTAAATTCAATATTTCTATTTTCAGAAGACTGTCAAGGCAGCTAGGCCTCTTGTTCAATATTGCTTATTGGTACCTTCATACTTTCTTGTGTTTAAACAAAACCAAAATTCATGTGTGGTGAGATATTTTAAATTTAAGTCACTAAAACAAAATATTCATCAATGAAGAATATAATCAGTTTCTATAAATACTGAACACACAGCCAATTATGTAATTGATTAATTACATTAAAAAGTCTGCCTGATTTTAACTGATAATTGATTATGAACTTCAACTGATTTCCCTGGTAGCTGTAAATAATTCTTTTTGATATAGAGTCCGACATCATTTAGTTCTTTATCAAGATAGGAACCAGCAATAAAAGATGGTATAATATGTGATCATGATTTATTGAAGATGAAGGCATAATGTGCTTTCCATATTGTTGTAAAGGATGTTAAAATTGTTTAAAAATAATATACAAATAAAAAAAAGATGAAAATAAAATATGACAGTAGTTGGATTTCTTTTTTTGTTGATAGCTTTTGAAAAGTGTCATGTACTGAACATCCAATCTATCATATGTATCTACTGCATAGTCATCTGACCTGACCTAACCTATATCTATTTGGTGTCTCTTATGCCTCTTCAGCAGTGCATCTACTCTATACATTGCTGATTATTTATTGTCAAGCTGGGCCAGAAGGATCCAAACTTAAATGAGGTCCCTTAGTGGATGGGGTTATGGGTCCTAAACACATGGACCTAATTATTTGTAACTTTCTGTTGGTGAATATTAAGTTATTAGAGGTATGGTGTATATATCATACAGGTGTCATTTTTACCAATTTTAGATCTAACCTCGTTAATGTCCAGGACTTTATTAATAGGCCATGTTAGGTCCACTGTAGATAGTGTAGAGTTTTACCATGTTTCTACAGAAATGAACTTCCTATTTCTTATTTGTCCATATTTTGGAACATAGCTAATTCGTATTTGATTTATGTTGTGACTTCCTAAAAAGCTACAGGTCTAAGGATATGAATGCCATTGAAAGACAACTATGAATATACTTGAGTAGACCTTAAATAAAAATGGCCAAAAAAAATCAAATTTCGAAAATATTCTTACTGCCCAAATATAAGAAACCAACCCTAGGTAAATGTTACCAAGTAAATAGTAACTAGACCATGGGACCTGATGGTTACTAAAGTATTACGGAAACCTATGCAATTTAGCTTGGATATTTGTAGAAAGGCATATGATGTGTTTTGAAGACTATTATAGTTGGTTCCAGTAACTCCAAGGTCTTGATTAGATCTAATCACTGAACTTTCCATGGACTTTTCTTTATAACAGAGACATATAGATAAATCCCCACGCTAATAGCATTTGTTTGTGACATTTCTAGAACTTTTAAGATTTTAGAAAATGAAATAATTGGATCAGTGCACACCAACGACAGATGTATTATTTTTATAAGTATTTATATATTACTGTATCTAAAATGTCGCTGTCCTGGTATTCATTAAAGATTTAGGTATGAGGCCCAGGGGCCGCAACAGTCACCTAAGTGAACTCACATACAGAAACGATTGGAAAGAATGTATAGTAAAAGAGGAGAAAATGAGAAATGCTATTTGTACAGGGACAAAAGAGTTTGACTTTAAGACCTTTCCATTCATGAGGGTATATGATTTTATCATCCATCAAGCTGTTTATTTTTGTGTTTTCAGTTCAGTTCTAAATTTGCAACAGAATACATTAAATATGAAGTTCAGCTGTAACAACTTCAGCCCAACATTTATTTCCGCCCTATTGACCAAGAGGTGATAGTTCCCTGTATATATTAGTTAACCAACATGAGAAGCTGAGCTGTTTAAAAACCACTGTTTTGCTTACCCAAAGGTTCAGTGTGGACTTTGTTATTTATTTTTAGCATCATCAAATATTCAGGATGGCCGCCATGGGCTTTGGCATTATCACTATTTCTTAGACCGGCTGAGGGCATCTTCAACATGTATCATTGGTACTTTGCTGTTTACCTGATACATAAACTTTGAGGCAGCATTTATCTGCTAGTACAAGAACACAATGTACAAATATCCATACAATTACTTCACCAAGAAAATACTTAATGTCAACAAAATCTTAATTCAAAATCAAAATCCAAGGGAAAATATGAACGAAAGAAATATTTACAGAGACCACCTGAAAAGTACAAGGAGAGGAAGTTCTGATGCCTCAGAAGCTTAAGCCTCCTAAACTTCAACAACAACATTTTGATAATTGCCAGTAATGTCATATTCCCGAATGAGAAACAGGTAAACAACAATGAACCGGCATCAATCAAAATCCTGTGTTTCAAAATTTATCTGTCAGTTGTCAACATCTTGTGCAAAAAAGTCGTGATATTTGAAACCAAAGATATTGAATCAACTTCGACTTGCAGGTTTGGGAATTAGGAATGTTGTTATCTAGAAATGGAAAATTTACAATAAGGAAATTGAAATCAAACATATATATTTTTTAATTTATCAAAAGGAAATTAAGCACAAATATCCAAAATGTTGAAACATTAACGACTGTATATTCTGGCTAAAACTTCATCCTACATTTGAATTTTTGATTCTATATTTTTGTTATTTTCCTCCAGAAAATAGTATATTTTATCATAATCTCAATGTTGATCTTTTTCAAAGTCTTGAAGATTCTATTATTCGTTATAAAACAAACCGAAATGCAATTGTCACATGAGACCTGGTATGGGGACAAAGTAAGACCTCATTAATATGATATCAAATGATATAAATATTTTTTATTACAATATTGACAATACAGTCGAAAACGTAGGAATGTTCACGGAAGGAGATTAGAAACATTGTACAAATCTACCAGTATACCTATAGTTAATGGACGTCATCAAGATGAATGATAGAGAAGAAAATTTTACATTTCACAGAAGCAATGGTGCAAGTCTTATTGGTGATTTACTCGTAGACCATGAATATTTGTCACGTGTATGAACGTTTACCTCGGGCGAGTTTAACACTTATTTGATCACCACTAGCTTTTAACCTTGATTGTAGTAAGTTTTAATGTTAATTGACTTGATAAATCATGTACAGATAAAGTTTTCACAAAACTCATAATGGTGTTTTATCAAACGGCCTCATTGATAGAGTGGGGGACCTTAGTGATGCTTGTGACTTGCCTTTCAACACTTAATAAGATGCTGCTAAATGTATCGATATTTTCTGTGGCATTGTCAATGAAGTAGTCTGACCATGTTGTGACGTAAAGGCTGCTAAAGAAGCAAATAATAATCTGACGATAAACCGTGGTTTTAGTAACAGTGTTAACGGAAATACTTCTATTACGAAAAAAAGCTGTGCGTGAACATAATAAATGTAAGTCTGTTGAAAATCACACTTTTCTCATAAGTAAAAAATCTTAGTACTAAAATCTAGAATCTAGTTGGGTTTTTTTCAAATGGGCGAAGTAACTTACCGCAGTCAAATATAGATAGGAAAGATTTTGTACAATATTCCAAGAGTTTGGGAAGGGTTAACAGCAACGATCTCGATGGTTCAGATGTGGTAGCACAAATGAATAATCCACTGTGTTCTAAAAAACATAGATAATCCTTTTACAGAAGACTAAGTACATGTTGCTATTGGTATTTGAAACGAAGTTTTTTTGTTTTTTTTTTTTCATTTTCCTTTCACATAGAATACTCATGAAGCTGAATGTTTTGGCGTAAAACTTCTATTTTCAAAACTTAACAGAAAAGTGCTCTGCTAATATTTGCATGTATCTTATACCCAACACCAAGGAAATATCATACCAAACCTCATATACCACACCAGGGACGTACCTCTTACAAAACACGTTTCTCGTGTCCCACACAAGGGGTCAATCTCATACCCAAACCATTGACATATATCGTGCCCAACACCAGGGATTCATCACATACCTAACATCAGGGACGTACATGTATCAGAGCCATATCTTATACTAAACACCAAGGTCGTATCTTACACCAAACACCAGGGACCAGGGATTTATTAATTGATATAGGGTTTAACGACATTCTTAGTACTTTTATATAACTTTAGTGCATTGACCACATTGCGCACTTTTAGCATTTTAGCGTAGTTTTCGTGCATTAACCATGATACGAAATTCGCGCAAATTTCTTAGATCCAATTTTAAGGCATTTATTCAGCTTTTCTCAATGGATTTTGTTAGAATTATTGATTGATTGAGGTTTTCACGGTAATTAGCGTATTCTCGTGCATTTACCACGTTGCGTAGTTCGCAATGAATTATTGTTTATAAAGATGTTTCTTTGTATATATTGATGTTTTTGAATATGTGTATTTTTTATAGTGTTACTAGCTATTTCCATAGATATACCAGAATTCGTATACCGCTACGATTTTGTAATTCTAATTTTTAGGCATTTATTCATTGTTCAAGCAACTCCATTTTAAAAACAGTTACTTTGAATATATATGTATATATGTTAAACTTCCCCAGATACAGTTACTTTGAATATATATGTATATATGTTAAACTTCCCCAGATACAGTTACTTTGAATATATATGTATATATGATAAACCTCCCCAGATACAGTTACTTTGAATATATATGTTAAACTTCCCCAGATACAGTTACTTTGAATATATATGTATATATGTTAAACTTCCCCAGATACAGTTACTTTGAATATATATGTATATATGATAAACCTCCCCAGATACAGTTACTTTGAATATATATGTATATATGGTAAACCTCCCCAGATACTTTTCTTGTGGCCATTATTTATGTATCCCATCTACATGTGTATAGATTTGATAAATATACACCGTACACTTTTTCGATGACCATCATATATGTATCCTCCTGTATTTTTGATAAATATCCAGCTAGACACTTTTCTGATGACCAACATATATGTACCACACCCACTCTATTATATATGATAAAGTCGCTCTTAAAGTTTGATTCTTCTCAGTCTCCTATTTGTTTACAAAATTGGTTTTTCACTGCAAAGTGATATGATGCAGTTATATTCATTATCGAAGTCTAGTTTATCATATTGTGAATTTGTATTTAAAGGATCTACTATCAGTAACATGCGTGAGTTTTGTACATTCCATTACATAAACATATTAAATTTTTTATATCGAATAATTTCATCACTTTTTTCTGGCTTTTAATTTTCTTGAAATAGTGATCGATTCGTTTTTGTTTTTCTTAAATTTTTACAGAAATATTGACGGGGATAGATTTGTTCTACATCTACGTCACATTTTACTAAAGAACCGATGTTCAACTCGCCAACAGAATCATTTACATTCTTCTAAAGAATCGGGCTTGCGAGGCAGTGTTCTGATCGTTCCGAAGTGATATTTAACTTAAGGGGCTGGTAAGTCACACAAATATGGCTCCGTGACTCTTCCTAACGCTAGGCCTTCTCTGACTCGAAAA